CTTCCTTCCTTCCTTCCTTCCTTCCTTCCTTCCTTCCTTCCTTCCTTCCTTCCTTCCTTCCTTCCTGGTAGAAGCCTATCTACTCTCACAGAGAGTGGCCATTGAATTACTGTTTAATAGTTACCTTTTTTTCCAACACTCAGAAAACCTTTAACAATTTCATGGCTGAAATCAGGTACTGTCATGAGTGTGTGTGTGTGTGTGTTTGTGTGTCTATGTATACACACACACTAATATACACCCTATACATAGACATAGATACATACATATACATACACCTACACCAGAGGTGGGTTGTTCCCGGTTTGGCCTGGTTTGGCCAAACCGGTAGTGGCGGTGGTAGGAGGCCCTGCCCGCCCGCCTACCCGGACACCTCTGCGCATGTACAGAAGAATTCCGCATGTGCAGAAATGTTGCACAAGCATGCGAGCATGCGCAAACTGGTATTAAATCGGTTAACAACCCACCACTGTTGTTCCCGGTTCGGCAAACTGGTAGTGGCAGTGGCAGAAGGCTCGGGCCACCCACCTGGATGCTTCTGCACATGCGCAGAAGTGTTGCACATTTGCGTGAGCATGCACACGAGCACGAGCGAACCGGTAGTAAACTGGTTAGGAACCCACCACAGACATATAAATACACAGACAGACACACACACACAAAGAAAATACTGTATCATTAAGTCCTATCTCAATGAAATCTTGACCAACTTTTTCCAACCTTGTGCTTTAAAGAAGCCAACTAGGCATGACAAACCCTGTATTTCACCAGCTGGATAACCCCAGAGTGGGAAAGAAGGGTTTTTTTTCTCAATGGGATAACAATGCAAAAGAAATAAGCAAGGTTTGTGCCTAAACTACAGTCCACAACTTATGAGCCACCTGTTGATATTTCAACCCTTCCAGATCATGCAGTCAAAATTGTTATTGTGGCTGCTTTGGGAGAATTGTAAGAGTGTAGATGTAAATGAATTGGTTCTTGGAGGCCTCCCATTCCCATTTTATCCCTTTCTCTCAAACCCTGGAAGACCAGATAAAATCCTTCCAGTGATGTCGTATCATTGTCACCGTAACAAAGTTGGAGCTCAAGTGGTGGCCTCAAACCTTCAATTATCCACCTTTCCCTAGACATTATTGGTTGGCTGCACAGTCAGTCAGATGTTTAGACTGCAATTTGTCTCCTCTCTTTGCCAATCTACAATTTGCTGTAGGAGGAAAGTTTCCACTGACATGAGTGAAAAATGTTACATCTACATTGATCTCAAGTAGGTCTTGCAAATGGTCACAGGAGTATAATGCCTATCAAGGAAGTCTTTGAGAATTATCTTAAAATTATGCTGCCGACTACCAAGAACCTTGTAACTTGTGTGATATATATATCCTGGAATCACATTTTGAAATGTCAGGCAATAATTACACATATGCCCGCAATTATTTAATTTTTTGTTAATGGGCCTTCTAAGAAATCCTATTGTTGCTGCCAAAAGTAAAAATAAAAAAGCAAAATTCCAATTACTAGGTAAACACTGAACATTTTAATAGGAATTGAACAAGGAAGAAAAGGAAGACTCGTCTAACAAATACTTGCCCTATTTCAGTGACATTTTCACTGCAAGGCTCATATAAAAGTCTATACAATCCTGTTATTTTCCCACTTAAAGCGACATTTTAAGGTTATTCATATTTTAAAGTTCAATGCAGAAAAAGAATTTAGCAGTGACAAAATGTTTAAATCATTGGGCAAAGTGCAGCATGGCATCCAGAAGGCAAATTAAGTTGCTCATCTCTTTGATGAAGAGAAGGAGGAGGAAGAAGAGGAGAGGGAGGAGGAGGGGGAGGAGGAGGAGGAGGAGGAGGAGGAGGAGG